TCATTTATGTATTCCTTGATTCTCTTATTTCTTTCTATTTTTTTATATTTTATTTTATATTATATTTTAGAAGGAAAAGTTGTAATTAATCACTCTATTTTTATTTTAAATATACAAATCACAAAAGTATGTATATATATATATACATATATATATATATATATAATATATATATTATTCGTTTATCCTTTTATTCTTGAATAATTACCTTGGAGATTTGAGAAAGAAATTATTAGAAAAATTGATGGAACAAAATTGGTGTTTACAAAACCTTGTGGCTTATTAATCCCCTGGTTGATGAATTAGTGTATGAATGCTCCGATTATTATAAGACCTAATGCTTGGCTTAATATGCTCTAATGCTTATAAAGCCAAGCCATGCTACTAAAAATGTTTATGATATGATTTTGATAATTTTTATAGTCATCCACTATATTATGATATTGATAAAAATCTCTATATAATATTAGAATCATATTATTAAAATCTTTGATCATATTCAAACACACATTTTTACTTTGATAAGACGAACCTTTGACAAAATGCAACAAGTCTATCAATAACGACTAGCTCTTCATTAAAAACTCTTTTAAAAAACATGTTTGTCACTATAAAAAATAAGGAGATTGTTAAGTTAAAAGAAGATCTTAGATCTCTCAGTTATAAAGTTTTAATTATAACAAATACAAATATTTTTAGACAAAAGTTTTTAAACCATTCAATAGATGCTCTGTATAAGGCAAGTGCATTAAGACAATTTGTTATCTTAACATAAATGTCTAACACACAAAATATTTCCTCTATAAGACATCTACTCTTAATTAATATCATTTATGATGTTAGATAACTAAATTGATCTTTGAGTATATTACTTTTTAACAGATCGAAGCAAAATAACTTCATTAGTACCCGTATTGACAAAAGAGAAGAAGGACATACTTTTGTAAAATAAAAAATAATAATAAAAAAAAAAGACAAGCAGATCTCGTGAATCATGAAAATCCTCAAAAAAAAAACTTTTTCGATACCTAAAAGGTGATAAATAGCTTTGATTAGATAAAAAGTGACAATTTGGTAAAATACAATTAATGCAAGTAATTAATGCACCAATAGACACTTCTCTCCACAAGGAATTAAAAACTAAAAATACACAAAGCAAACCTCTGAGAGACGCTCAATGATTTATAACGGTTATCTTCATTGAAGCCCTGTAAAAGGAAGTTTAAAATCCAAAAAGACAAAGAGTGTAGAAAAACTAAGAGAGACGAGTAATACTAGTATTGGGTGAACGTAGCAACTCACTATATTTTTTTATTGAATAAGAGATGGCCTTTAAATAGCCATTGTACAACGTACCAAATTAACAAGAAGATAACAAAATATCTTATCAAAACAAATCTTATCAAAAACTATCTTATCTAAACTGAAACAAATAAAACAGATAAACTAACTCGGATATCTCTAAAATTTAAGATTATCTAACAAAACTCCCCCATAAGCTTAAATTTTCTTTTCTTTTCATTTCGATGCCTCTTCCACCAGAGCGCGATACTCCTCCGCGTACCATGGCCCCGCGAGCCACACGATGTCCAGCACCCCCGGCGCCGCGGTGGCCGATGCCTCTTTTGGGATACAAAAGTACCTATTGTTCTTTGATCCACCTCTAAACCCAGAAAATACTTCATGATGCCCAAATCGGTCATCTCAAACTCCCTCTTCATCACTTTTTTAAACTCCTCAACTAACTCAGCTTTACTTCCCATCTCACTCTTCTCAATTGATCTGAGATGATGGTGTCCTGTGGAAATCCATTACCACTAAGGCCTTAGATATATGTAACTAGCAGTAGGGGTGTTCAAAAAACTATATTAAACTAAACTATTGTAAAAACTAAACTAAACTAAACTATAAAAAACTAAACTATTTTTTTATAAAAACTAAACTAAACTATATTTTAAGTTTAGTTTTAAAAACTAAAATATTATAAAAAGTAGTTTAGTGCACTTTAACTATTAAAAAAACTTATAATTAGAAAATGTTCTAATTAAATAATTAATTAGAACTAAACTAATAAATAATTAAATTGAATTAAAATTAAAAAAAACTAAATTATTTTTATAAAAATTGAACTAAAATGAATTTTATGTTCAGTTTTATAAATCTAAAATTATTTTCTAAATAGTAGTTTGTTAAACCAAACTATTAATAAAACTGAATTCTTATTATTAATACCATTTTCGTAACTTTTCAATTTTGCCTATTACCCACTTTCCTATTACCCACTTTTGAGTCAGTATACTAGTGGTTCAGTGCTATTATGCACAACTACACATTTTTTTATTCATTTACAGGAATAAAAGAAAAAATTAATTTTCATTTATTAATTGAACAAAAATTTATATACCTTTTGTAATTATTACTCTTTCAATATTTTTAATATAATTATTATAAAAAATTAAAAAAATGTATTATATATGTATGTACAAACTTCTCTCTTTATTATCCATATAATTTTATTTTTGATGCTAAAAAATATTATTATTTTAATAAAAAAATTATAATATTAATTAATTGAGTTTAACAATTGAGTTTACAACATTATAAAAGTAACGGTATATATTTTTATAATATTTTTTAAAACTCATACTATTTTGTAAAGAACGTATTAACTTAAAAAGATAGTTACATGTAATATTTAGATATTGTTTTAAACTTTTTTATTTATTGGTAAAGATAGGAAAAAATAAATCTTGATAAAAAAAATAAAGAAGGAAGGATTTGAGATGTTTTTTTAAAGAAGAAGAAGAAATCTCAATAAGAATAGAAACAAAAAAAAGGGAGAATTTAAGATTTAAAAAAAATCTCGATAAAATTAGAAACAAAGAATAGATGATTTGAGATTTTTTTAATAAAAAAAAATGCCTTGATAAAAACATAAACAAAATGAAGAGAATCGTTCTTGTCTCTCCTTACTTAACCTTTGCATAATAGAAAAGAAAAAAAAATCTTAATAAAAATAGAAAAATGAAAGGAGGATTTGAGATTTTTAAAAAAATTGTTGTAGAATATAATGTGTCTTAATAACTTATTTTTTAGACTTAATAAGTTACTGTCATATTAATATATAATTTTTTTTACATGCTATTTGTATTATATATATATATATATATATATATATATATCATTGTACAAAAAATACAAAGCCGATTTGTCCTTCACTCGTGTCTTTTCCAATGCGGCAATCTGAGCCACAGATTGGTCTTCGTCCTCCTCGGGTTCTTGGAACCCCTTCTCCACTATGTCCCATAGACTTTGGGAACCCAACAGGGTCTTCATCTGTAAACACCAATTATCATAATTGGTTTTCTTTGACAGTTGTGGTACGGTCATTCCATTAACAACCTTCGCCATTACTCTCTCTTTCTTCTTTCTTCCCCTTCACAGGCGCACACTGTTTTCCTCTCACACTCGGCACTCAGAGCATAAAGCTCTGATACCAATTTGTAGAAAAACTAAGAGAGACGAGTAATACTAGTATTGGGTGAACGTAGCAACTCACTGTATTTTTTTATTGAATAAGAGATGGCCTTTAAATAGTCATTATACAACGTACCAAATTAACAAGAAGATAACAAAATATCTTATCAAAACAAATCTTATCAAAAACTATCTTATCTAAACTGAAACAAATAAAACAGATAAACTAACTCGGATATCTCTAAAATTTAAGATTATCTAACAAAGAGAACATATATTGTAAAAGTTACATTCATTCTTTTTTGTAAAAAGGCTCTGCACTTAATTAGTTATATCACGTCTTGATAGTAAGACGAAACAACATTGTTAATTTACTTAGCTATAACTTAGTATTATTATGTTGAGCCTAGAGAGATTTATCTATAAAAGAATATTTTATTGTTGAGCCTAGAAAAGTTTGTTTATAAAAGAATATTTAGTTGTTAAAGTTTGAAGAGGCTTTGCGTTACTTAGATAGTTGCTTGAAAAAATAAATTAAAGAACACTTAAGTTTTAGCCAAAAGTAACTTGGAAAAAAATATTTTTATCTTTGTATAAGATAGTGAAATTTAATCTAGTTAGATCAAAAACTGAACATAATCTCAGTGTTTAGACAAACCAATATAAAAATACCTTATATTCATATTTTTATATCTTTGTCTGCACTCCTTATTGTGATAATACTACTTTGTTGTTTCAAAAAGTAAATTGTTAATTGATATTATTCAACTCTTCTTCTAATGCTTCTTTTCTCCACACATGTCAACACAATAACAATAAGAAGTAAAAGGATTAAAAAAATTGTAAGGATAGGATTAAAAAAAATATATCTTAAATTATAAGAACTAAAAGAGATTGAAAAAGATAAATATATGAAGTAAAAAAATTATTTTAAATTATAGAGACTAAAAGGTAAAGTAAATTAAACTAAAGGACTAAAAATATGTTTCATAAATATATACATATATATATATATATAATTATAAAAATTAAAAAAAATATAGTGCAAAGAATAAAATGAGAATCTGAGTAGCGTGGGCCAATTACAAGGACATATGAACCGATAACCACCGAAACAAAGTCAGGTCGTGTAAGGCAAGACAAATGAAGGCCCCAATTATTTAGGGTTTTAGTTATTTATTTTACAAACCCTAAACCCTCACTCACACACACACACACACACCATTAACTAATATATCATTTGGCATATACAGATTTGCAACTTCATCGAAATCATTCATAATGAGTAAACATGAACAGCTTACATGTATAACATTCACCATTTCTAATCAAGTTTTTTTCTATAAACAGCTTACATGTATAACAGTCACCATTTCTAATCAAGTTTTGTTTCTATAAAATTGAGTTCAGTGAACTATATAGAGACTTTATAACATTTGTATGTGATTTTTAATCATATTCACATCTTACAACATGTTGTCACTGATATGATTCACAGAAATCTAGAATAAAAGCAGTCACCATTTCTAATCAAGTTTTGTTTCTATAAAATTGAGTTCAGTGAACTATATAGAGACTTTATAACATTTGTATGTGATTTTTAATCATATTCACATCTTACAACATGTTGTCACTGATATGATTCACAGAAATCTAGAATAAAAACACAAATCTTCCTAAACTCATCATTCATAATGTTAAGCAAATTTAAACTTTTATAAAATACAGCATTAGGCAACAGGAGCTTTGCAGCAGACATCAAAAACATCATCTAAGGGAGCATGGTCACCTGTACCTTCGTCTTTCCTCGCATACAGTAGCTGCTTTCCTCTGAACACAAACATCCCTCCCTGACAAAAATAAGAATGGATCAATATTTCAGGGAATGCAGGTATATTGTTTTTATCCTTTTTACTACCAGATTAATGTACCAACCTGCTGCAAAACACCACTTATATCATCTGGGGTGGCTTGAATTGTATAGTTAGTGGCAGCTTTCTGCAGAGCATCAAATCTCGAAAACACCTTAGCCTGTCTATCAATTTTAAGGTTAAAAAAGTATATTAATCAGCAAATATAATTGCAAATGCCTTATAAAGTATATATATACATCAGAGAAGTTAGAGGCTATAAGCTTACACTGGCTGGGTTGAAGAAAGTTCGGCCAAGACCAAAGTATAGGTCCAAAACATTATATGCCTGAAAGAAGGCGACATTCGTGAATTTTCAACAGGAAGATAAGTCCTAGTGGGTGAATGTTCAACTGGCTAACATTTTACCTTGCGGTCAGGATCAGCATAAAGGCAATCCATTGGAAATGGTAACTGAAAATGGAAATATCAAGACAAAAAGAACAATATCAGTTCTGATATGAAGAACATGTTCATACCGATATTATACAAATAGGTAATTTCACATGAAAAGTCTTCAAAATTCAGATATACTAAGATCCAAATTCTATGCCTGATCAAGATAAAAATGACCATTCATACTGCTATCCTCGAGCTAGCTTACAACACAAACGATGAACCTTCAATGAAATGGATTTAAACTTGAATCACAAATCAGTCAGCCAAAATGCATTCAAGACTAATAACTGAATATAAATTTGACAAGTATGATACTTGATCGGACTGCAAAGAATAGGGTTTAGGTAGAGTATTCAGGTATAAGTGTGCATATTTACATTTTATATAAAAGAAGCTTGTAATCAAATCCATTCCTGTATGGCAAGTTGGCAACAACTAAAGTGTTCGTGCTACTTAACAAGTATACACACTCACATGTAGATCCATTATCTCCATTTTAGCTAAATGGAATATAATCTCTTTTTAATGTATATTCTTTTTTTCAGACAAACTGATAAAACAATAATTTTACTTTAATACTAAAATTTACTACAAAAAATCAATAGAACAAAAAGTATTAATTTAAAAATGCAACATCTAACTCAATTAAAAATATTTAAAGATCTTTTATATCCTAATAATAAAATAATTTTATGTGTGTGGGTGGGTATACGACAGGTTGGCAATATATCCTAACTCACACACATACCCACAGAATACTTGAGGATAATTACCAAGGGAGTCAGTCTAGCATAATTGATAGAGTAGGGTGCATGAGTTGTTGTACCCCTTTGATATCAAATTCAATTTTGATGCATAAAAAAATTATTCAGAGATGCATAAAACCTTAATCATTGCAATTGAATTTTAAGAGTATCAATGGTTTGTCATCCCCATCTAAAATCTTTACTAAAAATTAGCATTTATTGATTCCAAGCTTTTATCAGAATCAATCTTTCTGGATCTAATGCCTCACCTAAACTAACAATGGATGTCCTTTTACAACAGGTAAGAAATGAATAATGATTGTTGAAAAATAAGCCAAGCAAATAAGACTCAAAAATATGACTTGCATGGCTTGTCTCTTGCTTTATTTTTACGTTATTTTTTTAAAGCGTGTTAGTTTAGAAAATATCAGGTATCATGGTTTGCTAGGAAAACCACTGAAATGATAAATGAGGACAAGGAAATTACTCTTTCAGCAAGCATACGAGCTTTATTGGGACTACCAACACCCACTGCAATTAGCTTGACACCAGCTGAATCAAACCTTGCTTTGGATTCTTTCAAGGCTGAAGCTAACTCCCAGCTTAGAACAAGAGCAGGCAAGGCATAAATTAGGAGAACTACTGCTCAAACAAATCTCGATTGATGACCAAAGGTGAAGATAGGTTACCAGCAAATGCATCCAAAGTGCCTCAATAGTGCCACCACTGCTATTCCCTGCAAGAATTAAGACTAATCACCCAGAAAGCATGGAAACAACACAGGACACAGATACGAGATACAGAAATATGACAAATTCCGAAAAACATTAGAGAAACAAACAACACACCTTTATACAGTAAATAACATTAAAAATTAACATAAAATAAAATATTTAAATCCCAATACAGAATTCATATTTAAACAATGAATATAAATCATTATAGACATAATAAACTGCAAAATGTATTCAATTACTGAGGCACTTCAATCATTATTGATATAAAAAATTGAAAATAAAATTAAACAAATTATAAAAAGAGTAATGATATATAGAAACCTCTATATATCAAATGCTTCATCAACCACTGTTATTTCTTATCACATTATATCACCTATGGCCATCATACTTATACTTCTATCTCTTCTACATTTTCCCCCATCAGGGTGTTTGAAGTTTTTATGCAGTTTGACACAATAAGGCTTGCATTCAGAAGTATCCGTGCTTCATAGCCAATCAATCAATCAACCATGCTCAAAAAAAGTCAACTTCGAATTTCCATATGGCTACACCTCAAGTTAAAACACGCAATAGAAAACGCAACTTATACTAGTTAATTCAAATCCCACATAAACAAAACCCAATGGGTGATTAATCTTAATTAACAAAATGGGTAACCAGAACAAGCATGCATGGTGCAATAAAGGTGTTACGTTAAAGATTTTACACATGAATATAAGGTATTCTGACCTCATTCTGATCCCAGAGATCACTGAATCTCACTGGCTCTCCGGCAGCGGTGAAAATGCTAACTTCACCGAGACTTTCCGCGATTTGGGGACTATAGTGGGAATTGGAAACCCTAGGAGAAATGATAGAGTGTCTTAGGGTGACAGTGACACCCTTTGAGGCAATCAATTTGGGGGAATAATTAAAGGGAGTGGCAGGGAAAGTGTGAGAATTTGAGGGAGAGATTGATGTTGGGCGGAAAGAAGGTCGCAAGGATTGCAGAGTTGCCATGGTGTAGTTCGGAAAGAGTGAGAATTTGAGGGAGAGATTGATGTTGGGCGGAAAGAAGGTCGCAAGGATTGCAGAGTTGCCATGGTGTAGTTCAACTCTTCAAATCGAAATGAAGACGAACCCTAACGTAGAAGTGGTGGTGGAAACTGGAAACTGGAAACTGTGGAAGAAGTTCAATGTTGTCACTGTAGATGAGACTCGGACCCCAAGCACAGAGCCACAAAAATTTCCGTCCACAAGCCTTTCATTTTTTTTTCTTTTCAAAATAGTTACATATTTTATTTAAAAGTTAAATATATTTTTAGTTCTTAATTTTTTTTTAATTTCTAAGCAATTTTTTTTTATAAATTTAAGTTTCCAAACTTATGTTAATTTTTGGTGTAAAAAAACTTTTGTTGATTTTAAATTTTAATTTTTTTTATCGTTAACATATTTAATCATGTTTTTTTAATAATCTCATTATCAATTATATTTTAGTTTGTGAATGTACATATTACATATTTATTAACTATAACTAAAATTTTAAAATAAATTATTTACATAAATAATATTATGTTTGAACATATAATTATATTTAAAATTTAAATAAATAAATATTGTTACATATATAAATTATATAGTTGATTCATAATAATAATTAATATTGTAGAAAAAAATTATTTATAAATATTTTTATTTATTGATAATTTATTTAAAATATAAATATTTAATTAAAAATAATTATAATAGATAAAAATTAAATTAAATACAAATTTGAAATAATCCTCTCTCATGAAAAAAATTCTTAAAAATGCTTTAGTATTAAATTGTCATTTATATTTTTTATATATGAATTGGTATGAAATTTTTGTGGACATTAGTCCATTATTTATATTTTCCTTCCAACTAATTTATTTTTCATTCAGAAGATTTTAAAATTGAGATTTTATTTGAATTAGATATTTGGATTACTGATTTGTTAGGTAAGATAGTTATATTTATTTATTATAACTTGTAATAAATAAATGATTTAAATATATAAAAATATATTATAATAAATATAAAAATAAATAAGTATTTTTAAACACAAATTTTATTGTTTTTCATAAAATCTTTTTGACGTTTTCGAATCCACCCTTTTTTCATTTAGCTCCATAATAAATATGTATTAGTTGTTAATATGTAAATTAGTTAATAATTAGTTAGGTTGTAAGGATATAATTAATAAAAATAATAATAATTAATATCATCTTAAACTTTTAAAATGACAATTAAATAGAAAGAAAATTTTACTTAAAAATAATTAAAAAAGAACAAAGAAAATATATTTTAGGAGTAATGTTTTATGTATAACAAAAATTATAAAATATCATTTTTATGTTTATATCTTTTTATCATTAATAAATATATCATCTCATAATAAATAAAGTGATAGAAAAAAATAGATAAAAAATAATATGTATAAGATCAAATAGCATTACTCATATTTTAGATTTATAATACACAATTTATGTTGTAATATAAAATTATTTTAAATATTGATATTTTTAATATTAAAAAAAATAATCTAAAACTAAAAAAATTGAAAGAAATGAAAAATTGAATAAAATATAAAATAAAAACACTTTTGCTAAAAAACTCTCATTTGAGGATAATAAAAAAACATTATTGGACAAATAAAAATTAAAGTATGTATCACGTAATCAATCATCCTCGGAAAATTTATGCTTATTTACTTTTTTAAAAAATATATATATATTTTTAGTCATTAAATACTTATCATTTTTTTACTTTTAATTTATGAATAAGTTTTTAACTCGTTTTAATTTCTAAAATTTTACTGATTTTTTTTTATTTACGCTTTTAAGTTTCTCCCTATTAACATTTTGACCCTAGCAAAAAAAAAAATTGTTCTTAAGGAGAATTTTAAGAACTAAAACCATATAAAATTGGAGAATTTTAAGAACTAAAACCATAATTTATTCAAGAATTAAAAGTAAAAATTTGTAAAAGTTTAGAGACTAAAAACATATTTAATAATTTTTTTAATATCTAGTATAAGAGTAATTTTGATACTTATTTTTAAAATTATTTAATTTTAGTCTCTTTATTTTTTAAATAGGTAATTATTAAAATTAAAAAAAAGAACAAATTAAGATCCATTAAAGTTTTGTTTTAGTTGGAAAGTCTAAAAAGACTTTGTTATAAAAGAATATTTAAGAGTTAAAGGTTCATAAAAATTTTGTTGTAAAAGATCAAAGACTTGAATAATTGTTTGAAGAGGTGAGTCAAAAATGGTTGAAAATTCTTAAACTTTATAATTTCCATATTATTTATTCTTTATGCAAAAGTCAAAGTTCAAATCTCTACATCAACTTTAAGATCTACAACATGTTTGATTATTAAGAATACCAGAAATACCTAAATCTAAAGTTGGTTTCTAATATAAGAATTATTCAACAACTGTAGTGATTAATCATCATCACGACCAAGGAGAGGTTAGTGGCTTTATGGTTATTCCTTAACTGAATCTCTTGAGTTCCATAACGGGACCTTAGCCTCTCTTCAAATGGGGAGAAGAGAGTAAAGTTGTGATCTTGTGTATAAGGGACCATAGTCTTCTTATAGTGTGTTAACCTATAAAAAGGATTATCATTATTTCCTAATGGGTCAACGCTACCATTTGCTCATTTAAGTTTATCATCTAATTTAGTAGTCTAACAAACTCACTTAATGTAACCACATAAAATAAATTGCTCACTAGTGATAAATAAATAATATAATTATTTTATAATATTAGCTCAAGTTAATTATTGGAGTATAAAATTCCAACAAAAGCTACTTAAGATGAATCAGTAATAACTTGTTAAATAATATTATTACAATATTTGAAAAATTTTGTAGAACTTGATTAAGAAATATATGTAATCTTAATAGTTGAGATGAAACAATATAAAATCCTTGTCTTTGTGTATATTTTCTTTCTTACTTCATTTTCACCATCATTCGTAAAAGTTTTGAAAATATGTCAAAAGTTTTTACAAACACAATTCAACCTGCTTCATGTGTTTGCTTTCACTCCACGGTTGGGTATCAAAGCTCAACCTCTTTAGGGTTTGAGCTATAAGATCCTTAATCCAACATTGACCTTATATTTGAATAATTATATATTAAGGACACGTAGGGTTATGTCAAATTAAAGTAATCTAATGACATATAAGTTATTTGGGTAATTATGTATCTTAAAGGATATGTGAGTCCTTTAATGTGTGGTAACTAAAAGGTTATTTTATTTTATGATGAGTAAAAATAAAAATACCAAAAGACAACCTTATAATTGTTTATAAATAGGTTAAGTTCTCAGATCACATGACGTTCTTTTCTTTTAACATATCATTATCAAAGAGAGATAAATAGATAACTAAAGAGTTCTCTTAAGAGAGTACGTGTTGATCTAGAAGGTCAAACCACATCGCTCTTTTATTATCATGAGTTCAGGTACACTTCCGCTTATTATTTCTAGTGATTAACATGATAGATTCTATATTTTGTATAGATGATTGTTTTCATTAAAGGCTTAAGTTTGGTTTTAACATGAGCATCTAATTGTTTTAGAGGAAAATATCCAAGGATAATAAGTAGTGAAAAATGATATCTTCTAGAAAAAGCTTCCTTGACAAGGTTTAGTGCTTTCAGTGGTGAGGATTATCATTACTGAAAAAACAAGATGAAAATGTTCATAAAATCAACTCAACACATCATCTAGAAAAATCATCATAGATAGAGATACACATGTTCTTAAGCTTGAGAGAGAATACACTCATGATGATTACAATGTGTTGTAGCTCAACACAAAAGCAAGATATATAATAGTTTTCTCTTTATCAATAACATAATATAAATGATTATGCAATTGCAAAACTACAAAAGAAATATGGGATGCTGTTAGGGTGACTCCAGAAAGCATAAAAGATGTTAGACTTAATAGAGCAATAACTCCTTGTATGCATTATGAGCACTTCATCGTGAAGGAAACTAAGATCATAAATACAAGGTTTGACAATGGTGATGGTGGTAGTCTGGGGCAAAGGGAGGGGGGAGACTTGGAGGGGGGACAACAATCACTACAAAAAATATGCAATTTAGCGACCACCAAAATCGGTCGCTATTTATCTTAGCGACCGACTTAGCGACCGAATTTAATCAGTCGCTAAAACCCTGGTCGCTAAGCTATTTAGCGACTGAAAAATTTTCGGTCGCTATTTAGCGAGAAAAAATTTCGGTCGCTAAATGGTTGAAATGATTTTGGTCGCTGAAGTGTATGGGACCAAATTAGTGACCGAATAAATCGGTCGCTAAATATTTATTTTTTATTTTATTAAATTTTATAGACGTCGCAAATTTGGTCGCTATGAACCACTCATATTTGGCCTCTTAAGGATTTTATTTCACAATACTTAAGTTTTTAGCATGTTTTGTCCTTAATTACACAATTTTTGGAAACTTCCCAGAAGGTCACCCATCCCTACATTACTCCAAGTCAAGCACGCTTAACTGTGAAGTTCTTATGAGATAAGCTACCGAAAAGCAAATGCATGTTGTTAGTATAAGTAGTACAAATTAATTCATTTAAGTCATCCTCAACTATCCAATCTCATACTTATATTATTTTTGGATCCTTATCATTTTGGTATATCCGGACCGTTATAAATATATAATAATATATATAATAATTATATTACTAATAATAATAATTATATTATATTTAATTAATCTTTATTTATATATATACTTACTTTTATAATTAACAATCTACTTATTTCTATTTAAAATTAATTTTATGATACAATTTAAATTATTTATTATAAATTTAAAAGTTTAAGTAATAATTTATATATTTTAAAATGAGAAGGGTTATAATAACACTGGTATAACTTTTATACTAAGTATTACACCGCTCAATAAATTTATATTAAATGTGAATTTTGTAAATCCAACTGATAGATTGAAAGTTCATATCACTTTATATGTTTATATCAATTTTTGTTAAAATTAATCAACAACTTAAAAGTAATCAAAGTGCTCATATTTATTTGAAATGAATATATTATGTCAATTTTGTTTTACTAGAATAAAGTATCAAATCATCTTGAATTCATATAAGATTCTGTATATATGATCTAAAATTAGCAACCGAATAGAATTACATCACTAATTGAATTTAATTCTGTCACTAAAAACATAAAATTTCTGATTTAGAG